AAGCTACGAAGCACGGCAACGCAGCAGGCAGCGGCCACAAGCACGGGCAAGGTGCGACTCTGGGAAGCCATTGCGACCAAACGTCCACTATTTCCAGGCGCTGCAGTTCAAGGACCCTTTGTGGCTTGAGCAATGGCAACGGCAGAAACGGATCGTTTTTTTATATATGTCGAGTGTACAGTAGCTTCTCACTTGCATTAGCTCTCCAATCGCAAGTCCATCCCGGCCAGTACCGGGAGCTTGGAGGCTGAATCCGACATCCGAACGTCCAATGTCATGGCCACGGGCTAGCGGCTAGCCTTAACACTTTGGAAGCCGGAGGGCGAGCTGAAATCCGATGTCGTCGCGGTCAGACATATCCAGTATGTTGATGTCCATTTGAGAAGTCAGCACCCTTGTGCTGAAGCCTGTCAGGCTCTACACTTGACATCAAAAAATCCCCGAGCCTCGAAACCAACGACTCCCTATGAACCCAACCTCCAGGAACCGCCAGGCCGAGACTTTCGACAGGTGTCCTATATTAGACTCAAGAATCCAGGCTGGGCTGGCCTATGTTCCGTGCGGTTTCTAGCTTGTCGCCGGTGAGGACCCAGAGCCTCAGAGAGTGACGGGAGGCATGAGACGTGGGGAGCTGCAGGGTTTAGCAAGGAAGCTTCCAGGCGTCGTGTGCTGGATCTGCTGGGGTTCAGATTTGATGCTGTGCGGAGAAAACAGACTGCGTTGCAGCATCGTGGAGCTCTACAGTTTCAACCATTCTAAAAGGGTGGAGTTTTCTTTCGCTCCCTTTCTTTGTTATTTGTTGCTCCTTCTTGTTTTGGGTTGTTTGTTTTCGGTGTGTGGGGGAGGGATGGAGGCCCACTTTCCACATGGGCAGCAAAAACAAGGCCTGTATCATGGGTTCTGAAACGGATGAGTTCATGACACGACACGACAGATCTGCCATGTAATGACTTGTTATAGGTTACATACTTTTGCATGCATGCTATAGTTATATATATATACACAGTTATACACATACATTTCTAGAACCATGTATTTACATATTCCGTACGAGTTGCAAACTGTCGTAAGTCCTTGTATGGCGCTATTTCACAGACACGTAACGGAACACAAGGGTGGCGGTAACCTCTTCCGGGTTGAGGCAGCAGACACCGTGTTGCGGAAAACAGTGGTGGTGGTGGTGGTGGTGGTGGTGGTGGTGGTGGTGGTGGTGCTGGTGGTGGTGGTGGTGGTGGTGGTGGTGGTGGTGGTGGTGGTGGTGGTGGTGGCGGTGGTGGCGGGGGTGGCGGTGGCGGTGCTGATGCTGCCGCTGCTGCTGCTGCCGCTGCTGCCGCTGCTGCTGCGACTGCTGTCGTGGTTGTTGTTGTGGGTGTGGTAGTGGCTTTCCCTTTCGTTGCGCTGTTCATGCTAGCGGCAGCAGCCGAAAGAACAGCGGAAAAGCTTATAAACGGAGGAACAGTAAAGCGAAGCAGACAAGCAGAGGAGCGGAAAAGCAAAGAAGCAAAAAAGCAAAAGCACAAACAATCAGAAAACTACAAGCAACCCAAAGTAGCAGGCAGAAGGGGAAAACTGGAGCAAAGCATGGAAAACCAAAACAACAAACCTTAAAAATTGGGCCGGTGTATTAATTTAATTCTTCCTGCATCTTTGGCCTTCTGTCGTTCGCTCTTGCCTTCTCTCTCTCTCTCTCTCTCTGTCTCTCCGTTTCGTTCATTCAAATGCGTCTTTGCTTCTGCCTGGATTTCGTTCTTTCTCCCTTCCGCTCCTTAGTTCTTTGTTTCTTTTACTTATAGCCTTGCTTTTTCTTTATTTCATTCGTTCCTCCTTTCTTGCTTTCCTTCGCTCCTTGTTTGGTTCAGTGTTTAGGGTTTAGGGTTCAGGCTCTTTCTTTCTTTGATTCTATCTTTATTCCTTCCTTCCTTTCGGCCGA